TTGGAGGTGACGTTGGGGTCCTTTGGTCTCTGAATGTCTTGTGTCATGTAAAAACTTTCACGGTATCTCTCCAGTGTTTACTTACCCTCCTGCCCTGCCCCACTCAGGAGGAGTCATCCATTTCTTCCAAATGCCCAGATGGAAAGGCACAGGTCCCAGGAGCCAGGGGGACTTTCATGAGGATCCCAGGAAGCAGGCTGTGGGCCTGGACTCCTGCTCTCCCCACTCACTCCAGACTGTGTGGCCACTTGAAGTTCTCCCTGGGTGTGCTCTCTCCCTAAAGCTGGTAACGTGGGTGGCAGGCATGTTATTCCATGGCCCTTAACAATGTGCCACCTTGACATGTTCTCTCCATTGCTATGCTATGGCAGGCACTGCATCCTCATTAGTCTTGTGTCCACACTGTGCCTAGCCCTGTGCTGACCCACTTAACATGAGCAAGGGGCCAGGGAGGACAGACTAAGGGAGGAAAGAGAGAACTTTGTTTAAAAAGGCACCCTTCCCAGTTAGCTGTCCTAAGATCCCCATGTCATTGAAATGAGAGACTCCACTTTAGGGTTGGATTGCCTCTTGACCCTCCTGATGGAATCTGTGGAATGGCAGTCTGCTCTGAGAAGGGATCTGACTGGCACTGACAGCCTGTGAGCAGCTGGCATGGCACCTCTGGTTTCTCTCTAGTGCACAGAGCCAGCCGGGTCCCGTACAACCCAGCTGCCTGCTGACGGACAGCAGGCTTCTCCTGGGTTTTCAGGGGAAGGGGCAGGGCCCAGGGCTGCCATCCCCACGCCCACATCACCTGCTGCAGCAGACATGCTGGGCAAATCCCGACTAGCATGCCCCAGAATTCTCCAGATGGAACCTCACCCATGACACTCACAATAATAGGAAGAGTCATCCCACTGTCCTGTGCCCTAATCAGCCAGTTCCTAAATGCACAGCTCGGAATTATCATCACACGCACATAAGCAAAAATCACCAGGCAGCTGGGTTTCACGTTGTATTTTCACTACGCTGACCTTGTGTGCTTTCTACTGTACAGGGCGTCTCTCTGGCCTTGTCCTTACCCATGCATGGTGACCCCTGCCCATTATGCAAGACCCCCCAGACCCTCCAACCCTTCACTGCAGGCAGTGTGTTGTCTGCAGCAGCTCTGTCTTCCCAAACTGGGCGAGGATAAGTCCAGAGACTCCCAGTGTGAGCTGGGGACAGGCCCGTTCCTGCCTTATAGAACCCTCAGCAGCAGGCTCAGAATGTGCCTGTGTGGTATAATTGCATAGTACAGTGGCCAAAGTTACTGGCCCTGGCCCATGCTGGGAGCAAGCTTCATGACATGGGCAAGTTCTCTGTGCCTCAGTTTTCTCATCAGGAAAATGGGTGTGGTGATGATAACATTTGCTCCCTGAGGTTGTAATAAGTGGGGAGCACTTGGGTCGTGTGGCCTATCCTGACTGCTCTGTCAGGGCCTGCCACTGCCGTGACTGCTGCTTGTGGCACTGCCAGGATTCTGTCCTCCCCGAGCTGAGGAGAGTGGTGGGGCCCTCTGGATGTGGCTTCAGACTCCCTGGCCATGGGCTGACTCTTTCCGTGTTCTTTTCCACATGGCTTAAACACTCATTATTTCTCTATGATCTGTCTGAGAGCAGCATGGGTCACCCTGGCATGGGGCCCCCTAATTGCCGATAAAAGGGGCTGCTGTGAAGGACCTGGCAGTGTCTGTGTGCTAAAAGCAATCACTGAAAGGACGCTTGTCTTGGATAAGGCTTCTCCAGGCTGGCATTCCAACATCCTGGGCGACAGGAGCTGTGTGATCTCAAAGTTGGGGAGGAGGTTGTGCTCAGAGCAAAGCTCTGGTCACTAGGGCCTGCAAAGGAATTGCGAACCAGAGAACGTTCTCAAAGAATGAGGTTTGGATGGATGGCAGTGCCTGGCCACCTAGTCTGCACCAGTCTTTAATGAGTGGTCCTGTTCGCAAAGCTAAGGTGCAAGGTGAATGGGCAGAGGAGGCAACAAAAATGTGACTCAGGTTCCTACTGTTGCAGGGATGACACTAATTGAGGGGAGAAAGTTAACATAGAAAATATTAGGTGACTGTTTCCCATAGGTGGTTCCGTGGAACCCTAGCCCTGCAAAATTCTCTATGTAATAAAAAGGAAAAGTGGGGTAGACTTCCAGCTAAAAAAGGCCAGAAAATATTACATACTATATTTCCATCTGCTTAGAAAGTCAACATCCATCAGAGACTAATAAAGAAAGATTCAACCTCTTAACCATTTGTTACATATAAGCATCTTGACAACTTTTTAACTCAGGGTGGCCCAAACATTTGATAAGGGGGCCTGTTTTAATTCCTGCCTCCCCAAAGCTCTTTCAGACATCCAGAGGAATGAAGACCATGTTTCTGAAGGCGTCCTGGATCATTCCAGCTGCACTACATTTAAGCCACCAGCACCCCCCTCCTCCTGAGCCATTCTGACGAAGGCCGACATTTGAGAGTCAGGGGATTCGTGTTCCTAGAGCACCCAGGAGCTCTGTGGGAGACCTTTCAGGGACAGAACCAGCCCCTTGCTGGGGTGTGCATGGCTGTGGAGCTCAGGGGCCATGAGCTGCTGAGGAGCTGCGAACTGCAGGGAAGAGGTCTAGCCTCCAGCTTAGACCCTGCCAGGAAGACAGACCTGCAGGCTTTGTGTGGGTGGAGAGAACGTGCCTTTGTGTTTCTGAGTCCAGAAAGAATACAGTGGCCCAAAGAGGAATGCAGTTCCATGTATTCTGCAGGTCCATGTGGCCTCAGAGCTCTGGCACAAATAGGATGGCGTCCAAGCCACACAACACCCCTACATGTTACCCATGCATCAAGGGGGAAACTGAGGCTTCCTCAGCAGGGGCTGGAGGCTTGGCCTTGAAGGGTTGGAGGACTGGGACAAGCCTAACCACGGCATTCTTCTCTGTCTTCAACTTGACAATCACGTCTCTGTGCAGGTCCTTAGTGTGAGCAAGGGGTAGTGGGAGAGTAAGGTGGATCTGGCTCCCGGCGTGAAGTTCTAGAAGTCAGGTGGTGGGTAGTCTGGCTGCAGCTTCTACCCTTTGTGCTTCTCTGACTTCTGGGGATATTAGAAGGGTGTGGGAAACAGGTAACATGTGTATGCATGCGTGTCTGTGTATATAGATGTGTGGTGCTTATGAATATACAGGCGTGTACCACACACCACAGACAGAATACACAACAGTGATGTCATAAGGTGATGATGGAACCGAAATAGTCCCATCACCTAGTGACACTGAAGCCATCATCACGTGATAAATTAAGGCACTGTAGAGAACTCACTGTGCTGCCAATAGCACACACAATTGTGTTCAGTGTGTAGTACTCGGTAATGACAAGGGATGATTACTGCTGGTTTATGTCCTTACTACACCGTACTTTGCTGTTAGTGTGTACTTGCACTTGCATAAAAATGATCATCCCTTTCTTCCTTTTCACTCCACTTGCCTGACCCTAGAAGTCCTGTCACCCCCCCCCACACACACACACACTCAGGGGAGTCCTCCCCTTCTCCTCTCGGGAAAGCTGTCTTTGCTTTGATCCAACTGTGGCACCCCAAATCAGAGCGCAGATCATGCTGTATTGTAATTCTTTATTACAGGTGTGTCATCCCACACTGTCTTTGGGAGCAGGGCCTATGGCTCCTCCCCTTTTGTGTTATCAGCCCAGGCCTAAGTGTATATGAAACAGATCTTGTCCCAGGTGTGAGCTGGAGGCCCTGAAAAATGGTGGGTCCTGGGGCAGACCAATCATAGTGGTTGTCAATAAAATCAGGTCCTACAGAGAGGGCTCAGAAATGAAGATTGGGACACCTCCAGGAACTAAGCAGGAAGTCACAGCACACATAGATAACAGTGCACGCATCTGTGCGTCCCCCTAGCCTCCCCTTCCATGATCTTCTGAATTCTGCCACCATAGCTTAGTTCATCTGTTCTTGAACTTCATATAAATTGACACAAAAATCGCTATGTTTTTGTGTCTGGATGCTTCAGTTCTGCATTCTGTTGTGAGACGTATTTATATGGCCGCATGCTGGTTTTTGTTTGTTTATTCTCGCTGCTGGGTCCTATTCCAATCTGTGAGCATATCACTATTACCTATGTGGTCAGCTGTTAATGGGTTTCCAGTTTGGAGGTATTGTGAGTATGCTGCTGTCCACATGGACGTATCTTTTGGGGAACATCTATGCCTATTTCTGTTGTAAAGCCAGTTTATACCTGGGTCACAAGGCCTGTACATGTTCAGCCAGAGTGACATGGAAGGGTTGTCTCTAAGGAGCCTGGTGATGAGAGCCATCTGGAGTGATGGAGGGCATCAGGAAGCTGGGCAGTTGGAGAATTCGTTGGGGAGATCATGAGCCAAAGAGCAGAGACACCAAACCATAGAAGTACATCAAGCAGAGTTCTGCCTGCTGGGTGTATCACAAAGGAAGCATTAGTGAGAAATTCAGTCACTGGTGTAGCCCTGGCCTATGGGGTTTCTTGGGAGGTGAGGCTTAACTCCAAAAGATGTCAACCCTGGCTTTGCAGAGCCCCTGCTGGGGGAGGAGCCACTGCCATCAGACAGGCATTGGTAGCAAAGGCTTATTAGTGGGTGAGACAGAGCTCCTGCTGGCTGTGGAGGCTTTGGGGAGAGTCACAGGCCGTGACAGCAGAGATAAGGCCAGTTCTCATCCTGACTGTACACCTGTATAAAATACTGTTGAAACGAAGGCCAGTGCCTACAGGGAAGCCTGGGGTCCCAGCAGCGTCCCCCTGGCTGTTACTAGGGCACCAGCTGGGGCACTCACTCAGGGGGCTCACCTCAGCCTCCATGCTGCCTAGGATGACCAGCTTGGGAACAGGGAGGGGAGAGGGCCCCTGAAGCCTTCCCAGGCTCGGGCCCTGGGGAGGCCTCACACACTTGTTCTCAGTGTCTTTGCCCAGCGAATAATGCCAGCCTTTCACCCCATCTCTTCCAGAATGGCAGCAAAGACAGCTCCCTGGACATGCTGGGCACAGACATCTGGGCAGCCAACACCTTCGATTCCTTCAGGTAACTTCCTGTTGCTCTTTCTCCGGGGTACATGACTCTGACTGAGGCCTCCTGCCCAGCCGGCACTTACAGGGCTGAGTCAACGTTGATAGCTAATTCACTGAAAAGAAGAAGGAAACAAAGAGGCAGGTGAAGCAGAAAGGATGAGGCTGAAAAGGAAGGAGGGCAGAACGAGGGACTCAAAGGGAGAAAAATGAGAGTGAGAACTTCAAAGGAAAGAGAGAGGAAGCTGAGAGAAAAGAGAGGAAGACAAACAGCTGAAAAAGAGAAAGTGGGGCACAGGGAGAGGGAACGGACTGAGGAGGTCAAGAGCACATGGCAGCTGAAGCTGCAGCCCCCACCTCTCTCACCTGAGAAATCTGGAGAAAAGAGAGGATTGAGCAGTTCAGATTCTAGAAGATTCCTGCTAGGACTCAGGTGAATGGCCAGGGCTTCTCAGAAAAGGGGACAGAAGGGTTTGCTAAGGAGTTCCTACCATAGTGTCCACCACTCTTGGGGGGACAGTGGCCTTGGGGCATGGATGGCAGTCCCCTTAGCTCATGTCTGCCCCTCGCCCTGGAGCTGCCCAACTCTGGGTGCACTCCAGGCACAGCCCTGGGCTAGGGCACAGACTCCTGGGGCAGGACCTGGGGAGTTGGCCCCAAATGCCCCACTCACTGGCCTCATCTCTTTCTCAGATGTTGTGTCGCCATGTTGAGCCACTTGGCAGACGATCTGGTGACAGATTTTTTTGCTGCCCCTTCTCTCCAGCCTTATAATGTAGGCATGAAAGGAACTGAGGGGGTGCAGGGGGGCATCTGTGGTGTTACCTCAGCCTCACACTCATATTTGCAGAGCAGGCATTTTCCCCTAGCAGGGCTGAGAAAGGCCAGCACATGACACCTCAGGCTCCATTCTGAGTGTCACAGGCCGGCCCCTGCTCTGGAGGACCAGTGCCCTCCCCTACCTGCCTGCCTTTTGGGAGGGTGCTCCCACCCTGGGTCAGCCTCCCCGGCCCCCTGCCTCACATTTCTCACCCTCCCTCTCCCTCTAGTGGTGCCACCTGGGACCTGCAGCCTGAAAAGCTGGACTTCACCCAGTTCCACAGGAAGGTCCGACACACGCCCAAGCAGCCCCTGCCACACATCGACAGAGAAGGGTAAGGGCAGGCAGGGGGTGCTCACACGGGGTGGGTGGGGGTGTCTGCTGCACGGGGAACACTCAGGTGGCTAAGGTCTGGGATGAGGTCCCTGTCTGGGCCCAGAACTGCAAGGTCACTGGCTTCTCTCTGAACCGCCCATCCTTTCCCGCCCCCTCTGACTCTCAGTGCTCACAGAGGCTCCACTTGTGGGAAGCCAGTCCAGTGGGGCTCAGACTTGAGCATGCATCTGAAACACCTGGGGTCTTACTAAAAATCCGAGTAGTCACTAATTTAGTAGGTCTGGGGGAGGGGGATGGGAATTTGCATTTCTCACATGTTCCCAGGGGTTACCGATGCTGCTGGCCTGGGAAGCCCACTTTGGGATCCACAGGTGTGGCAGTGGACTTCACAGTGGCTTCTCTTACCCTCTATTAGCTCTGTGAATCAGTGTTGCTCTCCTTATAAAAGGTGGTCTGAGGCTGGATGTGGTGGGACATGTCTATAATCCCAGCTACTCAGGAGGTGGAAGTAGGAGGATTGAGGACTGAGCAAAGTTAACACTATCTGAAAAACAAACGAAAAGCGAAAGGACTGGGAGTGTGGCTCAGGTGGTAGAGTGCTCGCTAGGCGGCCTGGACTGCCCTCAGGACACAAATGCGACTTCAGCCAGACACAGGGGTGTGAGACAATGGCTACTGCATCATTTATTTTTTAAAAAGTAATTTTTATTATGGTCAAATTCACATAATGTAAAATTCACTGAAAAATATATTCCATTGTATCGCTACACCGCCATTTGTTTACCTATTCATCTACTGATCAATATCTAAGCCAGTGGCTAACGCCTATAATCCTAGCTACTCAGGAGGCAGAGATCAGGAGGATCGAGGTTCACAGCCAGCCTGGGCAAACAGTTTGTGAGATCCTATCTTGAAAAAAACCCATCACAAAAAAAGGGCTGGTGGAGTGGCTCCAGGCGAAGACCTTGAGTTCAAGCTCCAGTACTGCAAAAAAAGAAAAATTTAGGTTCTTTCTACCTTTGGGATTTTGTGAATAATACTGCAGTGAGTATTTGTGTACAAGGATCTGCTTGGTCCCTGCTTTTAAGTTTTTGGTAGATTCTTAGGACTAGAATTGCTGGGTCATGTGGTGAGTCTATGTTAAGTTGTTGAGAATCTCCAAAGCAGCTGGATATTTTACCTTCTCACTAGCAGTATGTGAGCCTATTTTTCTCCATCCTCACCCTCACTTCTTTCCCACTTTTTGCTTTTTTATTATTTTTATACACATGGCTTTTATTTTTCTCCCACTTCTCCACTGTCCACTCCTGTCTCCCTGTCACTCCTGACCTAAACATAAGTGACATTATCAGATGCCTTCCTGCATCTCATATGTCCTCCCACAGCCACTCTCTGCCCCATCCCACCCTAAGAGGCCATTCCTTTTGGTGACACCAGTCTCCCTGTGGTATAGTGAGCAGCGCCCCAGGGGAAGAGATGGCCTTGTGCCATTTTTAAAGGTGACAGAAATAACATCGGAAAGGGTTAAATAAAGTAAATTCAAAAGGAGTTGGAAAAGAGGACTTTGGGAAAGAGATGGCCCTCCCCAGGCTGCTTCAGTCTCTCCTGTGTCCCCTGGGAGCACATAGCTGGTGAAACCAGTGGGGAAACTGAGGCCCAGGGGATCCAAGTGTGGTGCTGCCTTGTTGACTCCAGGCATCTGGTGGGGTCTGCATTTGAAGCGTAGCTTTCCCAAGGTGTCTGCCCAGCTGTCAGGGAGGGTCAAGTTCATAACAGCTCACCCCTAGGCAATAGTGATGAACGACCATGTAGGGGAAGAGAGATTCCCCTATGCCAAGGGGCCAAAGTAAAAGGCCACCCCAGCTCACCAACTGTAGGCCTGAATTCTGCCAGGCTCATCCACCCAGCAGGAGCTGGCCAGAGGCTGAGAGTGGCCCATGGTCTCCCGTGAACAACTGCTTCTGGCTAAATCCTGTCGCTCCCAGCTTCCCAGGTAGTGTGAGGGCAGCGCCCTGTGGCCACCTTGTGGCTGGGCCAGGAATTCTGTCCCCTTAGAGTCCTGCTGTATGGGAGATAACTCCACATGTCCAGTCACTGCAGCCTCCCTCGGCAGCAGGGTACCACTCCGTTGCCAAGGCTTTCTGCAGCCTGTGTTTCCATGGAGGGATAGAAATCAGAGCAGGCTGTTGCCTTGGAAACCCAGCTGGCAGCCGTGACTCAGCTGGTCTGCAGCCACCTTCTGCCCTCACACCTGCAGTCCAGCAGAGGGCTCTTCTGGATCAGGGTGGCCAGGGGGAGGCAGCTGACACTATCCTGTTCATGCCCAACCCAGGGGATACTGAGGAAATAAGGAAATGTTAGACCCTGGGGCGTGTTAGGCTGGAGCCCAGTGCATGCAGAAGAGTTCCCAGGTGTGTTTTACCTACACGTGAACTTGAGGAGCCGTGTCAGCAATTCCAGTCGGGCCGAGTCCCCAGTTCCCACCTCCAATGACTGGCACCTGCAGAGCGCAGGTGACTATAAGCAGTTGGTGCTTCATTGGGCCAGCCTATCACTGCCAGGTGGATTTATTAGTTCCAAGATGGCTGGGGGCTCTACCTCCCCATCTGTAGCTCAGTATTCTTGGTAGAGGGCAGAGGGTGGGGAGGTGAGGGGGAGCTGACTTTTCCTCTTTCCCCTTTTGTCTGTTATACCTTCCTTACACCCCTGGCTCCATTTACCCAGACCTGGGCCACTCTCAAGCCTCACCTCTCCACCCCCTCCTCTTGTCCTTGGACCCCTCACACTCCAGGGTGGTGGTGCCCACCAGCCTTGAGCAGCTCATCTCTTAGCGCTGGCTTTGCTGTATGGCTCACTGGCCTGGGACATTCACCCTCACTGTCACCTTCCTCCTGTCTTCTGCCCAAATCAGTCCTGCAAGCTGCTCCTCTGGGTTCCTGCAGTGGCCTCTCTTGTCCTTGAGGGAGCACTAGCCACTGTACAGTAGGGCTGAGCCTCCTACCAGTGGCAGGCATTGTTTAACCCTGGTCCCAGCCCCAATCCCTGAGCCTGGCATCGAAATGAGGGAGCTAATTGGGCCTGAATTCATATTCCCGTTCTCTGCCAGCCAAGCCTTGCTGGTTTGGGCTGCCAGGTTCTCTTCTGTCCATAGGACTTTGGTGACACTTGTCTTATGCTGCCCCCTAGTGGTGTTCAGGCTCGCCACCCTAATGGAAGAGTTTGGTCTGAGGTATTTGAGGGCAGGAACCACACCTAGTTTATTTTCATTCACAGAGCCAAAACCAGAAGCGACGCTTGGTAAATATTTAAACAAATGAACAAGTACTCTGAAACTGGAGACTTGAACTAACTCTGCAGTTGGAAAATGCTGCTACCAGCCCATTGGAAGCCCTCACCATACCTGGGTCAATCCTGATCGTAGAGACGATGGCCAGTGTCACACTGTGCACCAGCCATGTGCACATCCCTAAGTGTTCAGCCTGGAATAGTTAAAACTCACCACAGTCACAGGTCAGCATCAGATTCTTCAAGTGGTGAGACAGAAGGCTTAGAAATGGAGGGGTTTTGCCCAAGGTTGGCGGGGCTCCGTGTCCTCACTGTCTCTCTGCCTTGTAACCGTGGAAGTAGTAGTTGTGGTGCACTTACCTGTTATTCATTTACGTTTTTATTTTAATCCTCTAATCACTTTATGATGTTAGGTATGATTATTATGTCCATTTTACAAATGAGGAAACTGACATAACCAGAGGTGAAGTGACTTGCATGGGGTTGCCCAGTTAGTAAGGGATGCAGCTGGGGTTCAAACCCTTGCCATCTGGTGCCAGAGTCTCCACTGTTAAATATGCAAAAGAGCTAAGCTGGGCCAGAGCATGAGGGCACGCCCACACCCAGAGGACATGAACACAAAGCACTCAATACCTGACTTACCCTGCTGGGTGAAGTCAAGCCAGGGAAGAAGGAAGCCCCACTGGATTTTCTTTCTGCTGGCCCCTGCCAGCCTGTGTGACCTTGAGAAAATTGCTTGGTCTCTGTTCACTGGTTTTTCCTTGGGTGCAATGAAGCAAGCTAGACAGGCTTTTGCAGGAGTCTTGCCAGGGCTTTTGCTAGGAGCTTAGCATCTTTGCCCAGAAGGGTCAAGGGGCACCCTGGTTCATCTCTCACCATTCTGAGGTTGAATGTTGCATTATAAGGAGGACCCCCATCTCCAAGGCCCTTTCTTGGGGGTGAAACAGCAGATTGTGCAGGCCTCAAGGAAGGACAGGGCCAGGTGTCTCCTGACTGTCCCTCCTCTCCTGCAGTCCAGCTGGGATCATGCATGGATGAGACACCCTCTCAATGCCTTTCTGTCTTCTCTGCTCCAGGTGTGGAAAGGGGAAGCTGGAAGATGGGGATGGGATCAACCTGAATGACATTGAGAAGGTCCTCCCGGCCTGGCAGGTAGGTGCAGGGGCCAGTTCTCTAACATCCCCCACCTTGGTCCTGGTCCTCTACCTGGGCGGGGCCTAGGCACTCCTCTGGCTCCTTGCTCAGCGTGTAGAAGGTCACATGTGCAGCAGGGGGTACTCGCCACTCGCCATGGACCAGGCCATCCGCTCTGACAGCCTGCTCTGGTGATGGATGCCAAGGGCACTATTGGCTGGCCTGGTGTCCCTAATGACAAATGGGTCCTGTGCTGGCAACTCAGCCAATTGGAAGTTTTCTCCTTGACCTGAAGCCACACGGGTGATCACCCTGCAGTGTGCCCAGGTGGGCTGGCAGAGCTTGTTCGGACATCTAGGCTTTTGAAAAGTGGAGTTGTCCTGCCAGCCTCCAGGTATCTGCTTGTGCTTGCTGATTTTGGTATTGATTAGGCTTCTTTCCCGGAATGGGGCTGGGCTCTGGGACAAAGGACTTGTGAGAAGGGCTGTGGTGAAGCCAGGAGGCCAAATGCTGCCAGTGTTGGACTTGGGGTTGAGATGCAGGGTGCTGCTCCAGGTCATGGGGTAGGCCTGCTGCCGGAAGTCAGAGTAGTGGGCCTTCAGAAGGGATTGAGCTCATCACTGCAGGTGACTGCCACCTCTTTCCACCCTCTCAACTGCCCTTCTCTCTCTTGAATCTCCTACTATTTTACCTGTATCCATTTGTCTCTTCCTAGTCCTTGTCTCATTTCAGTTCCTCTGTTCATGTATTGAGCTTATCACCAAGACAATAGAGTCTGTAATTAAGCCCAAGCAATTCAATCAGGATGTGCCTAGGTATGGCTTTTCCTCATTTTTTCCTTCTTGGGAAAAAACCTTTTGGAATTTATTGAGAGCTGGAGGCTTATAGTTTCATAAAATTTGGAAATTTTTCAGCCTTTACCCCCCCACACACACACTGGGTTCCAGAGCTCTGCTTATTTCTCTCCCCACCCCACCCCCTTTTCATTTTGGATTGTTTCTGTTGTCATGTCTTCAAGTTCACTCATCTTTTCTTGCAGTGTATAACCTATTGTTAATCCCATCTAGTATATTTTCATTTCAGATACTGTATTTTTCAATTAGAAGTTCAATATGGACTTTTCTTCTCATATTTTCCATTTTTCATGCTTTTTTCTACCTTTCTGAGCATATGAGACCTATTTTTATAGATGTTTTAATGTCCTTCTGTACTAATTATATCATCCATGTCATTTCAGTCTGTTTGATATTTTTTCCTCCTGGTTACGGGTCATATTTTTCTTTGTATTTCTGGTAATTTTATATCAGATCCCAGATATTAGGAACTTCTTACAATTAGGTGGTGAGTTTGGGGGTTCATTTGCTTGCTTGTTTTGTATTCCTTTCACTATTTTGGGACTTGGTTCACAATGCAGTTAAGTTACTTCAAACCAGTCTGATCCTTTCAAGATTTACTTTTAAGTTTATCAGGGAGGGAAGACTTCAGGGCAAATTTTGATCCAAGGCTGAGTTGATTTTCCCTTCTGAGAATGCTATTATAATGCTTTGTGTCTTAGGCAGTGTTTCTACCATGGCTGGTGGCACACGAACCACTTCCAGTCTTATGTGATCTCAGGAGATTGTTCCATTTACTTCTTTTGGCTTTTTCCCAGCCTTGGAAGCTTCCTCCCACACAGCACAAATTCATACTCAAAAACTTGACAGTCTCCATATTTCTGGATCTCCCTCGCTCTGGTACTCTGCCTTGCAGATTCCAGTTGCCTTGGACTCCATGGATTTTGAACTCTTTCTTCTTAAGCCATTGAGATCAGCAGCTCTGCAGACTGGAGACTGGACAGCCGACTAGGGCAAACAGAGTCTCCTCATTACAAAGGAAATATGGTGACTTTATGGTGGAGAAACATGGCAGGCTCCAGCTTGACCAGGTCAAAGTTGACATCATTAGTGGTGGCACAGATGGACATCATATGCCCCTGATGCACCACATTGAGAAACCCAGCATCATTCCTGGGGTTCTTCTTCCAAGAAAGCACAGACTGAGTCTAGTAGTGAGGAGACGGTGTAAGGACCATCCTCAGAAAACACTTGGGTGTGAAAGGTAGGGCAAGGTCAGGGTGTCTTCCAAACTATAGGACACTGGGGAGGCGGGTGCCTTGCTGAAGTCCTGGGTCAGAAAGAAAAATGGAATGGAGAGCCTGTTGGAATAGAGTGTGAATGGAGTGGGGGGGTGAGGCGGCAAGGGGGTAGTTTTGCTCCCCTTTCAGTTTCCTGACACAGGTGACTGTGTCACAGTCAGGCAGGTGAGTGTCCTTGCTTTTGAGAAATATGCACCAGAATATTTGAGGATTCAGCCTCATGTCTGCAATTGTCCTCAAATGGTTTAGAAAGAGATCGATGATGCTGGTGTGTAGACACACAAAGGAAGAGGAGAAGTGAAATGTTAATAGACGGACCTGGGTGAGCTCTTCTGCACTGTTGTTGCACATTTCCTGTACATTGGAGAGGAAAAAGAAGCAATGGGTCCCAGCCACAGTAAGTAAGTGAAAGGACGGAGTTTGTATTACTCATCACTGCTGATATAAAGCCAGCCTTGGCTCAAAAGATAACAGTGCTCCAAAATGACCACTTTGTCACTCCATTCCTAAATGCCTGCAGTACTCATTACTGATAGAAATATATTTCTGTTGTATCATAAGCAGTAGCTCATACCTGTAATCCCAGCTACCTGGGAGGCAGAGATCAAGAGGTTATCAAGACCCCATCTGAACCAAGCTAAGCATGGTAGTGTATATCTGTAATCCCAGCTACTCAGGAGGCATAGGTAGGAGAGTTGTAACCTGAGGCAGACCCTGGGCAAAAAATGCAAGGCCCTACTTGAAAAATAACTAAAGCACAAAAGGGCGAGGGATGTGACTCAAGTGGTAGACAGCTGCCTAGCAAGTAAGGTTCTGAATTCAACCCCAGTAAAGAAAAAAAAAACCTGAAATACATTTGAAAGACAATTTAAATGAACAACCAGATGCCCTTGGCTTAGGTGAGGTGTGAAAGGAGCCTTAGAGCCAGAAGCCTGGGAGCTTCAGGGCTGGAAAAGAAACAGGTCTGACCACTTGCTCCTGCTTAGGGACTGTGCCCTGGATCTTCCAGGAAGCAATCCGGGGCTAAGGAGAAGGAAAAGAGTCCTTTGTTCCTGCACAGAAGGGAAAGGAGAGCTGGCCACTGTCCAGGAGAGATGGCAGACCCACATGTGGTGTCTGACCATGGGCCACCACTGACTAGCCAGTGCCTCAGTTTCCTCCTGTGTGAAACAAGGATGATAACCGTTTGCACTCCATTGAGGGAAGCAATGGTAGCCAAGTGTGCGAGTTCATGTGAGGTGCTGTGAACCAAGATTGCACGTCCAGCACCATGTGGCTTTCTGCTGTTGCAGTTCTTGGGCCTCAGTGCTGCAAGTCAAGCTGTACCTTCGAAGAGGGACCAGTCTCTGGGAACCCCCTTTGCTAAGAAGTGAGAGGAGGGAGGGAGTCACCCCACTCCCCAACCCTGTGAGTGTGTCTGAGCCACAGAGGCATTTCTGCCAGGAAGCAGCTTGGAAGGCGAACCTTGGTCCAGGGACTGCACCTGCAGCCACCACACAGCTATGAAGGCACCTGTGACTCTTGCTGTGTGATCCCAGGTGGTGCAGAGGTTGGACTGGCATCAGGGCAGTCAGTGGGGACATCTGCCACTGCCATGTAGCGCGACCTCTCCTCAGGGGCCTTGGTTTACTCGCTGCAAAGTGACATGGTTGGACTAAGTCAGGGGTTGCAAGCGGTAATGGCCTCGGGTGCTGCTGGGAGAGGAGCAGAGGGCAGGAGGAGTGCACTCTGGGTGCCCCGTCCAGGCTCGCAGAAAACTGTCAGTCAGGATTTACACATGGTTCCATTCGCAGAGACAATGCCACTGCTGAGTACATTTTGAAAACCATGAGCTGAGAATCCTCTGAGGCTCAGATTCTAGGTTCTCTCTGTCTTTAAGCACTTTGGCTCTCCAGAGCCTACGTGACACTCAGCTCCTGGGACTGCTGGGAGAGGAGGTCTTTGTCCTTGAGAGCACAGAGTGTGAGGACTTTGACATTCACACACACACAACACGCACATGGATGTCACCACAGACATGCCACACATGCACACGGACACACATGTGCACACACACATATACAGCCACACACACCACACGCATTTTCCCGGCATGTACATTGGACCCCCTTTGCCCTCAGGCAGCCATCAGCATGAGTCCCTAGACCCATAGAACCAGACGTGGGCTCCATGCCAGCACTTCCTCAGAAGCTTTCGGGCCAGCAGCTGGCTGAGGCTCACCCAAGGTCCACTGTGCTTGTCAGATATTGCTGGCTAACAAATGGCTCAAAACTTAGCTACTGAAAAACAAATATTTATCATCACACACACATTTGGGGAGCAGCTTAGCCAGTATCCTTGCCATCCAGCCGATGGCTAGGGCTGTGGTCCTCAGACCACACGTAGCTGAGGGAAGAAGGCAAAATCTTGCTTCTCCATAAGCTGTTTGTGTCTTCACAACCTGGCAAGTGAGGCAGAAAATGGGCAAGTGAGAGGGCCAAAGTGGCAGTCTTTTACAGCCCTGTCTCAGAAGTGATCTTGCCATGTGCCATGTGCTGGTTGCGTAGACCAACCCTGGTGCAATATGGGATGGGCTACCCCGCCTCACCTGTGGTGCAGCTGGTCCCCTGTCCCCCTCCCTGGATACCAGGGACCAGGATCATTGGTTCCATTGTGTCACACGCAGGAATCGGTTCTTTAAAGCATACAGGAAATCCCAGTTAGTAGCAAGAGGTAAACCCTGAAGTTCCAGCTGACTCTGCTTGTGGCTTGACCTCTCCTTGGATCCAGTAGGCAATCCGGTGCCAGAATTCCAGGTCCCCACAGGAGCACGGTGGGATGATCTTCCTGAGGGTCCTTGTGTTCTCCAAGCTGCTCAGAGATAAGGCTGCCTGGGACAGTTGTT